CTGCACAGACACAGCGAGAGACAGTCCCTGCCCCAGCTGGGATCAGGGCCCCGTTGTGCCAAGTGCTGCACAGACACAGCGAGAGACAGTCCCTGCCCCAGCTGGGATCAGGGCCCCGTTGTGCCAAGTGCTGCACAGACACAGCGAGAGACAGTCCCTGCCCCAGCTGGGATCAGGGCCCCGTTGTGCCGGGCGCTGCACAGACACAGCGAGAGACAGTCCCTGCCCCAGCTGAGATCAGGGCCCCGTTGTGCCAAGTGCTGCACAGACATAGCGAGAGACAGTCCCTGTCCAGAGAGATACAGTGACTTGCTCAGGGTTTTCTCCCTTTTTTCCCCCCTCGCTTATTTATTCTTGGATCTGGACTGAATGCTCCAGGCATCTGAAAAAGTGGGCTGTGTGCACGTAAGCACATGATCCCAGCTACATGTGCTATTAATCTCTAAAGTGTTGCAAGAGCATCTGTTCTTTTTCAAGTTTTTCCAGTTACAGCTTAAATAAGGCTGTGTCTAGACCATATCCCCTTTTCAATAAAAGGATGTAAATTAGACATATTAATATTGCAAATGATCCCAGGATTGAAATATCCCCTGCTTCATTTGCATAATGGCGGCAGCCACTTTTTTTCAAAATGGGGCTTTTTCGAAAAAAGCGGCAGTTTAGACACGGATCTTTGGAAAATAAAAGCCTTTTTCGAAAGACCCTCAAAAATGAGGTTTACAGGCTCTTTTGAAAAAGGCTTTTATTTCTGACAGATCCGCATCTCAACGGCCGCTTTTTTTTTCTTTTCTTTTTTCTGAAAAAGCCCCCTTTCGAAAAAAAGCAGCCCCTGAAGTGTGGGATATTTAAATCCCAGCTTCATTTGCAATATTGATACCTCTAATTTCCATCTCTAGAGGCACCCTAACTTGGCTCCCCATCTCCCAGCAGTTTGGAGTTTTGCCAGGAACAAGCTTGGCTGGCAGCCAAGACGTCTTCAGCGTATGCACCCCGGCCTCCTGTTCAGTGCTTCTGATGCTCCTGCATCGGCAGCTCCTCCCGCTACCTGGATCTCAGCCGGGCAGGCGCGGCTCTGAGTGCTTTTCCTGGGACAGCCCAGCTGATCTCCACTGCCGAAACACGCTCATTTCATGGGCCGACAAAAAATGGGGCGGTTTTACTGTGGAAGGGCTACTATTAGGCTTGTGACAGATCACGTCTGTTATTCATTAGTCATCCCCGTTAGTCTCCAGAAGTTGACTGGTACCCGGGCTACTGGGGTTTTAGCCTCACCCTGTGGGACTTTTTGGCAAGTCCCTCTGTGTCTGTATCACTCTCCTTCCCCCCCACCCTGTTATAGTCCTGGCCTTCGCAACCTCCTGAAGCAAGGAGTTCCACAGGTTGACTATGCGCTGTGTGAAGAAGAACTTCCTTTTATTTGTTTTAAACCTGCTGCCCATTAATTTCATTTGGTGGTCCCCTAGCTCTTATATTATAGGAACAAGTAAATAACTTTTCCTTCTTCCCTTTCTCCACACCATTAGTGATTTTATAGACCTCCGTAAAATTCAAGTCTTATTGCCACATCCTGCCTTTAGGGATGGGAGGGAGACAGGGGATAAAGGGGGCAACTTCTCCAGGGGCTGGTGATTCAAAAGGGCACGGCCCTTCAGAGCACCCCTGGAGCACTCCAGGCAATGCAAAGGGCTGGCGGGAGAGAGGGGCACAGCATAACATGCTCCAGGCAGGAGAGGTGCACCTGGAGTAGTGCTGAGGACTGGCTGCTCCAACCCCGCCCCTTCCCCCTGAAGCCCCACCTCTTCCAGAAGCATGGAACCAAGCTCCCCTGGGCACATTAGCTGGTGGTGACAGTCACTGAGCCAACATGAAAGAGCCACAGGAGGGGGACAAAAAGTCTCTGTTCCATTTGGGGCAAACGCTCTGGTTTTGGCATCTTCATTTCATGATCGGTAAACTGCTTTGTTCTCTCATTTGCTTCCACTCTAGTGTGCTCTCCTATGGAAAGGATGAAGACCAGCTTCACAGAGGGCAAGTGCGATGAAGAACAGGGGGGAGCCTCGCTACACAACAGCTCCAGCCAATTGCTGACACAGGACCCTCGAGGTTATATTTGCCTCCTCTTTGTTCTTGCTCTTAAGCAGTTTCCTAGGGAGCCATCTCAGCATAATTTGGTGACACTAACCCACAGCTTGACTGTGTCCTCATCCTTCCTTAGTAGCACTAGAGGATAACAGCTTACTACTTCTGCATGCTAATCAAGTTTTTTTCCCCCATTAGCTCAATTAGTAGCACTCCAGGCTTTCTAATATAGAGCATCCGTGGTTTAAACCCTGCTAATGATCCATGCTGGTGGAGTGACTGTTACATTCTTTACCCCATCGCTCGAGGATAACAGCCTACTGCTGCTGCTGCTATGGTATGGCTTTCATTCTTTAACTCAAGTGGTAGAAACAGCTTTTTTGAGAGCTAACGGTCCTGGGTTCAAACCTGGCTTTTGGAGTGGGTGTTACATTTCCTACCCTAGAAGCTGGTTTACTATCGGATAATAACCTGCTACTGCTGCCATCTATTGGAGTCGCTTCATTAGCTCAAGCAGGCTCAGTGTTGAAGGATCTAGTCCTGCTACCGACACAGACCAAGGTGGATCATTTTAGTCCTGATTCACAGGAGCGGTCCGAGGCCGGCTGTGGCAGCTGGCGCCCCAGGCGGGCTGCACAGTCAGCGTCCCCACCTGTATGGCCATCAATGGCCATGACGTCATCATCGGGTGCCCGGGCTAGCGGTGCTCTAGGCAACTGCCTAGTTTACCTAGGCTCACAGGCCGCCCCTGCAGCTGCAGCCTCTTTCATTTTAAAAGGTGAGGGTGGAACCAAATCCACGCCTATTGGGCAGCAGTTCTGGGTCCCAGGGCAGAACAGACACTGGGTCCCCTGCAGCAGTTCTGGGTCCCAGGGCAGAACAGACACTGGGCCCCCTACGCATTCTTGTGCACGTAAATTTACAGTACAGCGTCGGAAAACAGGGCTTCTTCCGGAAGAGTTATTCCTCTCCTCCCGATGAATGAACCCTCTTGTGCAAGGGCTCTTCCACAAGAGGCCAGTGTAGACAGGCAACATGAAATTCTTGTGCAAGAAAGCCCTATGGTTAAAACGGCCATCGGAGCTTTCTTGCGCAAGAGAGCATCCACACTGCCGTGGGTGCTCTTGCGCAAAAGCTCGTCTCTTGCGCAAAAGCGCACGGCTAGAGCGTCTACACTGCCGTGGGTGCTCTTGTGCAAAAGCGCACGGCTGCGTGGACACGCTCTTGTGGAAGACCTTTTGCACAAGAACTCTTCCGCAAAACAGTTCTTGCACAAGAAGCCCGCAGTGGAGACGTAGCCCTAGTGCCAGCCTGAGCAATTCGCAAAGCTCTTTCCAGAGGCAGAGACAAAGGAAGGGAGACGGAGACGAACACCTGGCTGGGGGGTAGGGTCGGGGAGCGAAGCAGTTTCTGGCTGGGAAACATGAAGGCCACAGCTTAAGCTGGGGGTTGAGGGGACGATGGGCCCCCTAACCCAAGGGGTCTGAGACATCCTGGCAGGCAGCTTTGCAAATACCAGCCTGACCTCCGCAGGCTGCCGGAGCTGCCCCTGCCCCAGTCTGCTGCCAGCTCAGCTCCCTGGCCTGCCCTTCGGAACACCCCCATCCCCTCCCAGGGTCTGGCCGCGCCTTGCTGGGAGGGGCCAGAGATGGTGACCAGCTGCTTCTGTTTCCAGCCCAGGCCAGGATCTGGTCTCCATTCACCGGGGCATTCGCTGCCATTCTGTGCGTCAGCCTGGTCGCGGTTGTGGTTGTGGCAGGTGAGTTCTGCGCCCTCGGCACCGCCGCGCCCCTGCAGCTCCACTGCGCTCGCTCCCTGTGATCCCACCACCAGCCCTGCTCCTCACCTCTCTTAGTCGTTTCTGGGGCTCCCATCCCCCTACAGTGGCCCTGCCCTCCTCTTTGGACGGGCTCCCTCCACATCCAACTCCCACACCAGAAGGCAGCTTGTAACCAGCCCATTGGTGCTAATTGGGGCAGCTGCCTTGGCACGGGGAGGCAGCGTGGCCTAGTGGTCAGGGTGCTGGAGTGGGACTCAGGAAATTGGGGTTTTATTTTTGGACCCACCACTGGCCTGCTGGTGACCTTTTATGCGTCACTTTACAGCTCCGTGCCTCAGTTTCCCCAACTTTTAAAATGGAGACCCTGATCTCCCTTTGTCGAGTGTCTTGAGCTGGAGGGATGGAAAGTGGGATGCTAGAGCTGGATGGTCTTATTACTGTCCAGCAAAGCTCTGGTGACAGACACGAGCTGAGGCACTTGCCCTATAGCTCTGTTGTCCAAAAATGTGTTATAGTGCAACCACCAGGTTGAAAATTTAAAGAAAGGTCACAGATTAAGGCCTGAGATAGGTGTATTACATCTATCCCAGTCTACCCTGTGGGCCAAACTCCAGGCTTGGACTACATCTCCCATGCTGCTTCATTGCCTGGAATTCCCATGATGCATTGCCACCCTTCTCTGCATTGGGAAAAAGCATCATGGGAAATGTAGTCCAATCAGGGACTCTTGTCTATAGAGAAGAATGGGAACACAAGGAACCGGAACTACAACTCCCAGGAGGCACTGTGGCAGCCTAGTTCCCTTTTGGTTGAGTTTCTTGCTGTTCACAGTCTCGCCAAAATGCATTTCCAGAGAGGGGGAAAAAATTCTGACCCATGTCACTAGAGCAGGCTGGTGTAAACCAACACCGTTCTTTTTTACATTGCTGCCTTGCATTAGAGGATCCAACGCCCACTGTTTGCAAGAGACCAACCCAACCTGCATGCAGGGACCCCTAGGGGGGGAGACTCTGTCTTGCCCCATGGGAAGATGCTTTCAGCCCGACAGTTAAAAAGTTGCATGTTATTGCCCAGCTTGGTTGGAAATATCAGCCTCTCTCAGCCAGTTCCAACACCGCCCTCGGGCCAGCCCCATGGGAAAAGTCCTGCCTGATGCGTTAGCTCTCTCCCTGCAGCTCACGAGGATTGGGCCTTTGCTGCTTTGTTGGACTGAAAAGGTTAAATTTGGACTCTTCCTCCCCACCCCCATTTACTGCTTTCCTACCTGAGGGAAGGAAGGTTGAGGTGAGAGGAGTTTTCACAGTTCTCAGCTGTTCGGTACCTTATGCAGCATTCCTCAATGGACCAGCCCATACTCCGAAACCTGTGATTTAGTTGTTCTGCATCATAGAAGGGCCACATGAGGGCTACCTCCCGTCTGTCATGCCCACACCAAAAGACATCTAGAATACATGCTGGGGTTGCCAGGTGTCTGGTTTTGAAGCAGTCCAGTATTTGAGCTGTCTGGGAATAGAGAAAATATAAATGTCCGGTATTTTCTAACTAAGATGTAATGTAGATTGTGATGGAATGTCAAGCGTGTCCGGTATTTTTGTTAAAACCATCTGGCAGCCCTACCACCAGCTTCTTTTGAAAGAAGCTTTTTTGAAAGAATAAAGCTTCTTTAGGCAGAGATCGTCTAGACAGCCACAACTTTTTTCGAAAAAGCGATCCGCTTTTTTGAAAGAGAGCACCTAGACAATCTGGATGCTCTCTTTCGAAAAAGCCCTGGTTGCAGTCAAGAAAGCCTTTTTTCGAAAGAGCTCTTTTGAAAAAAGGCGTTCTTCCTCGGAAAATGAGGTTTTTCGCTCTCGAATAAACCGCCACATTCTTTCAGTTTCATTTTGAAAGAACACTCCTGCAGCGTGTTCCTTACCTCCTCAGTGACACCGAACGGCTGATTCTCTGCGCTTCAGGTGCTGATGCCCTGTTATACCCTGGGCGCTGACATCCCATACAAACATAGATAATTGAAACTGGCTTGGGGTCTTCTTTATCCACAACATCCATCACTATTTTCAAAAGCCAGTTTTGCTGCCTGTAATCGAGAACACCGAATGCAGTTCACAAGAGGGGCTTGGACTAGAATAGAACTGGAGAAGTGTGTGGGCGGAGGGCAGGGGGGGTGCGTGGTCTATTCCAACTCTGCCACTGGTCTTCTGGGTGACCTTTATCCTGTCACTTATCTGCCCTGTGACTCAGTTTCCCCATCTGTAAAACTGGGATAATAGCACTTCATTTCTTTATAAGGGGTCTTGAGAGAAGGGCTGGAAAAGAGCTGGGATTATTACCAGAAACATACTCCTATATAGAATCCTAGAATGCTAAAATACTAGAATGGGAAGGGATCTCGAGAGGTAATCAAGTCCAGTCTCCTGCCCTCATGGCAGGACCCAGCACCGTATAGACCATCCCTGATAGACATTTATCTAACCTACTCTTCAATATCTCCAGAGATGGGGATTCCACAACCACCCTGGGCAATTTATTCCAGTGTGTGACCACCCTGACAGGCAGAAAGTTTTTCCTAATGTCCAACCTAAACCTCCCTTGCTGCAGTTTAAGCCCATTGCTTCTTGCCCTGGCCTCAAAGGACAAGGAGAACAATTTCTCTCCCTCCTCCTTGTGACACCCTTTTAGATCCCTGAAAACTGCTCTCGTGTATGGCTATAGAGAGGAGTAACTACAGACCCTAGGGAAGGGAGCATTCCTAACCACTGTGCAACTTGATAACTTTCAGTGGTCGCCTTCAAACTTCTCTTCTCTCCTGCGGACCCACCTGCTCCCACATGCCCGGAGGACTGGATTCACTTCGGAGGGAAATGTTACCTCTTCTCAAAGGCTGAAGGGGACTGGGCCACCGGCCAGAAAAACTGCTCGTCCCTCGGTGCCTCCCTGGTTGGGATTCACACCCAGGCAGATCTGGTAAGGCGGAGATGCACAGTGTCTAGGAGGTACAGTTAGGCAGATGTGGCAGAAAAGACAATGGTGCAGTCAAGCCCTGTCTGCCTTGGGAGCTCAGATAATGAAAGTTGAGGGTTAGATGATTTTACTGCGTGTCTGTGCAACGCCCGGCACGACGGGGCTCTGATCTCAGCTGGGGCAGGGTCTGTCTCGCTGTGTCTGTGCAGCGCCCGGCACGACGGGGCTCTGATCTCAGCTGGGGCAGGGTCTGTCTCGCTGTGTCTGTGCAGCGCCCGGCACGACGGGGCTCTGATCTCAGCTGGGGCAGGGTCTGTCTCGCTGTGTCTGTGCAGCGCCCGGCACGACGGGGCTCTGATCTCAGCTGGGGCAGGGTCTGTCTCGCTGTGTCTGTGCAGCGCCCGGCACGACGGGGCTCTGATCTCAGCTGGGGCAGGGTCTGTCTCGCTGTGTCTGTGCAGCGCCCGGCACGACGGGGCTCTGATCTCAGCTGGGGCAGGGTCTGTCTCGCTGTGTCTGTGCAGCGCCCGGCACGACGGGGCTCTGATCTCAGCTGGGGCAGGGTCTGTCTCGCTGTGTCTGTGCAGCGCCCGGCACGACGGGGCTCTGATCTCAGCTGGGGCAGGGTCTGTCTCGCTGTGTCTGTGCAGCGCCCGGCACGACGGGGCTCTGATCTCAGCTGGGGCAGGGTCTGTCTCGCTGTGTCTGTGCAGCGCCCGGCACGACGGGGCTCTGATCTCAGCTGGGGCAGGGTCTGTCTCGCTGTGTCTGTGCAGCGCCCGGCACGACGGGGCTCTGATCTCAGCTGGGGCAGGGTCTGTCTCGCTGTGTCTGTGCAGCGCCCGGCACGACGGGGCTCTGATCTCAGCTGGGGCAGGGTCTGTCTCGCTGTGTCTGTGCAGCGCCCGGCACGACGGGGCTCTGATCTCAGCTGGGGCAGGGTCTGTCTCGCTGTGTCTGTGCAGCGCCCGGCACGACGGGGCTCTGATCTCAGCTGGGGCAGGGTCTGTCTCGCTGTGTCTGTGCAGCGCCCGGCACGACGGGGCTCTGATCTCAGCTGGGGCAGGGTCTGTCTCGCTGTGTCTGTGCAGCGCCCGGCACGACGGGGCTCTGATCTCAGCTGGGGCAGGGTCTGTCTCGCTGTGTCTGTGCAGCGCCCGGCACGACGGGGCTCTGATCTCAGCTGGGGCAGGGTCTGTCTCGCTGTGTCTGTGCAGCGCCCGGCACGACGGGGCTCTGATCTCAGCTGGGGCAGGGTCTGTCTCGCTGTGTCTGTGCAGCGCCCGGCACGACGGGGCTCTGATCTCAGCTGGGGCAGGGTCTGTCTCGCTGTGTCTGTGCAGCGCCCGGCACGACGGGGCTCTGATCTCAGCTGGGGCAGGGTCTGTCTCGCTGTGTCTGTGCAGCGCCCGGCACGACGGGGCTCTGATCTCAGCTGGGGCAGGGTCTGTCTCGCTGTGTCTGTGCAGCGCCCGGCACGACGGGGCTCTGATCTCAGCTGGGGCAGGGTCTGTCTCGCTGTGTCTGTGCAGCGCCCGGCACGACGGGGCTCTGATCTCAGCTGGGGCAGGGTCTGTCTCGCTGTGTCTGTGCAGCGCCCGGCACGACGGGGCTCTGATCTCAGCTGGGGCAGGGTCTGTCTCGCTGTGTCTGTGCAGCGCCCGGCACGACGGGGCTCTGATCTCAGCTGGGGCAGGGTCTGTCTCGCTGTGTCTGTGCAGCGCCCGGCACGACGGGGCTCTGATCTCAGCTGGGGCAGGGTCTGTCTCGCTGTGTCTGTGCAGCGCCCGGCACGACGGGGCTCTGATCTCAGCTGGGGCAGGGTCTGTCTCGCTGTGTCTGTGCAGCGCCCGGCACGACGGGGCTCTGATCTCAGCTGGGGCAGGGTCTGTCTCGCTGTGTCTGTGCAGCGCCCGGCACGACGGGGCTCTGATCTCAGCTGGGGCAGGGTCTGTCTCGCTGTGTCTGTGCAGCGCCCGGCACGACGGGGCTCTGATCTCAGCTGGGGCAGGGTCTGTCTCGCTGTGTCTGTGCAGCGCCCGGCACGACGGGGCTCTGATCTCAGCTGGGGCAGGGTCTGTCTCGCTGTGTCTGTGCAGCGCCCGGCACGACGGGGCTCTGATCTCAGCTGGGGCAGGGTCTGTCTCGCTGTGTCTGTGCAGCGCCCGGCACGACGGGGCTCTGATCTCAGCTGGGGCAGGGTCTGTCTCGCTGTGTCTGTGCAGCGCCCGGCACGACGGGGCTCTGATCTCAGCTGGGGCAGGGTCTGTCTCGCTGTGTCTGTGCAGCGCCCGGCACGACGGGGCTCTGATCTCAGCTGGGGCAGGGTCTGTCTCGCTGTGTCTGTGCAGCGCCCGGCACGACGGGGCTCTGATCTCAGCTGGGGCAGGGTCTGTCTCGCTGTGTCTGTGCAGCGCCCGGCACGACGGGGCTCTGATCTCAGCTGGGGCAGGGTCTGTCTCGCTGTGTCTGTGCAGCGCCCGGCACGACGGGGCTCTGATCTCAGCTGGGGCAGGGTCTGTCTCGCTGTGTCTGTGCAGCACCCAGCGGGGCCCAGATCCTAGCTGAGGCTACTTCCATACACATAGTATTGGATTCATATAGTTCGTATTCAGGATCATTATGAACTGGTTCTGTAACTGGACCTGACACACTGATCTGACCACAGTCCAGGTCTGGGTCCAGCCCAGCAAGGAATTCTACATGAGCTGATGGCTGGGCCCCTGTGTGTGTCTGACCAGCAGCCTCTAAGGCAAGAAAAGCTTTGTAGGGACGCCTGTCGGCCAGATTCCCCATTGCCATCGTGCGGCGACAGTCTCCTGGGCCTGGCTGTGGCTGCTGTAAGGGAGCTTGGTGCTGCCCAGTGTGGCCCGAGAGTAACTGGGAACGAGCCCCCAGGCGGGTTTTCCTTCTCTCCTTAAGCCAGTGCCAAGTTTGCTGCCTCCCTTCGCACTGTGCGGCTCAGCTTATTTTGCTTATTTCAAAGGAGTTCCTGATGCAAAATAAAAGCTCCTCCTCCTACTGGATCGGCCTCCGGAAAGAACCGGGCCAGCCCTGGAAGTGGGTGGATGGCACAGCGTTCAACAGCAGCCTGTGAGTGTTTTATTCCCCCAGCCTGGTTCTGCGGGCTCGGAACTTCAGGCTCCCTGCTGACAGTCGGAGCTGGCTATCCTTCCTCAGGCCACGGTGCCACGACAGCCCTGTGGTCCGCAGCCACCCCCCCTCATCGTTGGTGAAGAGGTCAGATCTCTTCTCTGGGCATGGCCAGTGGGCTGTAACTGTAGGAATCTAGTTCTCCAGTGCAGAGTCCACACTACGAGTTTTCTCGGCACAAAAAATATGCAAACGAGGGACTCATTTGCATGAGTTGTGGTCTCATTTGCATATTTTCTGCTGATCCGGTTTTGCGCTAGGGATTTTGTGCTAAAACAAGCCGTGTGGACGTTTCCTTTTTGCGCAAAAACCCTTTGTCCTGCAGAAACGCCGTGTGGACGTTTCCTTTTTGCGCAAAAACCCCTTTTCCTGCAGAAAATATGCAAATGGCGTAGTGTAGACTTAGCCTGGCTGTAAAACGCGAGTCTCTGCTGAAGAACCAAATCTGTTAAGAGACAGGAGTCGAATTACAAACAGTTTGTAAGTGTAGACTTAGCCTGGCTGTAAAACGTGAGTCTCTGTTAAGAGGCAGTAGTCGAATTACAAACAGTTCGCGGGGTCTGGCCGAGGTCAAACGGCCGCACCGCTCTAGTCGTATTTTCCTTTGTATTATATACAGCAGTGGTCTCCAACCTTTTTACACCCAAGATCACTTTTTAAATGATAGACCTTCCAAGATCACTTTTTAAATGACAGACCAAGCCACGATCTACCACCCCGCCCCGTCCTTGAAGCCCTGCCCTCTCTATTCTCCTCCTCTCTATCACTTGCTATCCCCAATCCTTGTACCGCTACTTTAAAAAAAAAGTTCCCACCATTCCTCGCAGCTACTCACCTGTGCTGTTGCGATTTGGCAAGCAACACAGGAAATTTGGGGAATTCCTGTCCTGGTTGTTACATGGTTCCTTTGAAAACAACACAACAGTCAAAACGTTGCCCTGTCAGATAAGTTTCATTTCCAAATTCCTTTCCATTGTCTTAAAAAAAAACAACCTCAAAACCTTTAAAAGCCAAAGAAAACCTTTCTGGTTTTGTCAAAATACTTTCTTTGACCCCAAATGGGGTGAGTCAGAGTTTATGAAATTGCCAAAATATAAAAAAAACACAATTAATTTTCCCCCTCTAAGGGATCAGAATAATTCTTGCCCGTGCGGAGTATCCCTACTAGAGATAGAGCTGCCAGATGATTTCAAGAAAAATCCCGGACACACTTGACATGACATCACAATCGCCAGTCCATCCGATTGAGAAAATACCGGACAGTTGTATTGACTCAATTAGAGCGTCTCAATTCGTTTCCCGAACAGAAAGCTCAAATACTGGACTGTTCGGTTCAAAACTGGACACCTGTATAGAAAAGGCTTCTGTGAACTCTGTAGGTGCGCACCAGCTGCTCTACACCTGAGGGTCAGACCTCTGCACATCGGTTCCCTGCAATCCAGCTTAGTTCCCTTTCTATGAGGCCACGCTCTCCCACTCAGCTGCTTCAATTTTCCCAGAATGCACTGGCACATCTCAGGTTGCACGGTGGGCGTGGCCATCCAAATGTGGTCACATGACTAGTGACATCATTGAACCAGGTCAGTTATAACTAGCTCTGTAGAGAGCACCGTGACCTGGTTGGTTGTTGCTGATCGTGGTGGAAGCACGTAGGAGCCACATCTGTGGAGCGGGTGCCTGTTGCGCTTGGGGCTGTACAAATACAGCACAGAGAGCTGGACCCTGCCATTGTAGGCTGGGCCCACGGGTGCAGCAGTTACCCAAAGGGGCTGATGTGTGGATGCTGCCCGTGGAGTTCAGCCAAGAAGTGACCCCACCTCCCTTGCAGGTTTCAGGTGGGTGAAGATGGACGATGTGCATGTAGATTTTCACCATCCACGTCAAGAATAATTATGTGCACCAAGGCATGTGGAAATGTGCACCACCCAAAGAAACACAAACCTAGACATCAGCACTTTGCTAATCAGCTGGGTGGCATTGGAATCTCTCCTGAGTGGCCAAGCACCCAGTTTACAAGTAGCACCGGTCTTTGGCCTACAGCCCACTCCACACATTTGTACAGGTTTAACCTGGCTCGCAAACCTCGCTTTAGATTTTTATCACTACACATTGGTAACAGTCCATGCAGGGCACCCCCTCCCCTCTCCCCACGCACAAACTAATGAGAAGAGATTTGCACTGCAAATCTCCAGATAGGCCAAGGAAGAAGAAACTAGCTGGAGAATTGATCCAGACGATTCCAGCAGCTTCCCATATGGAAATGCACCAGCTGTGTGTGACGGGTCAGAAAAAGCTTTCACTTTTTAAACCCTAACATCTCCTGCCGTCGGCAAATGCCTGTCAGACACCTGTTGTCTGACCGCTCTTATTTCCCACAACTATGAATATTCAGATGGACACAAACAGAAAAAAAAATGCCTAAAGGTAAACCAGTGTTGTGCATGAAAATTCCAACCAGTGAACGCTGCCACATCCCCACATTGGTAACAGTCCATGCAGGGCACCCCCTCCCCCCACCCCACCCACAAACTAATGAGAAGAGATTTGCACTGCAAATCTCCAGATAGGCCAAGGAAGAAGAAACTAGCTGGAGAATTGATCCAGACGATTCCAGCAGCTTCCCATATGGAAATGCACCAGCTGTGTGTGACGGGTCAGAAAAAGCTTTCACTTTTTAAACCCTAACCGCTCCTGCCGTCGGCAAATGCCTGTCAGACGCCCGTTGTCTGACCGCTCTTATTTCCCACAACTATGAATATTCAGATGGACACAAACAGGAAAAAAAAATGCCTAAAGGTAAACCAGTGTTGTGCATGAAAATTCCAACCAGTGAACGCTGCCACATCCCGCTATAGCTAAAGGGGTAAGGAGTGAGCATCGGATTGGCTCCTTGCCTTATATAATCCCAAGAGATGGGGCTAGCAAGTGTCCAGGCAACAGGCCCACCAATGTGGGTGGTCAAAAGGGAGAGTTGTCTGAAGGCCTAGTGATTCAAATGGACCCGGGGCGCTGGCCACCATTGCTACCTAAGTAGCAGTGACGGTGGCTGGAACCCCAGTCCTTTAAAGTGCCGTGCCCACCAGCTGCCTGTGGCCCCATCTTTCCGCGGAGCAGGCTCCGCCCCCTCCTCCTTGCTCAGCAGCTATCAGCTGTTGCCCACTAGCTCCCAGCCATGACAATCCTGCATTCTTGGTGCTTCAGCTCACTGTCAGGAATATGACTCAAATTTGGACCCTGAGTCCCACCTGAGCCCTGGTACCTCCCTGGACTTTGCTACCGGGCAGTGAGCCTTAGCTTGATTCCAGCTCAGTTCCCGGGCCCAACTTTTAGCTTGTCCCTCAACCTGAACTTGACTGTGAACCGGTGGTTTTTCTTGCCTAACGAGCTCCTGCCACTAACCCCGCCTCCTTTCGCCCGGGTCCCTGACCCCGGCTCTGCCATTAACACCTGTGGAGTCTCTCTCATAACACAGACTGAATATAATCTAATTTTTGAACCCCACACTTGGGGGGCTGAATTTCCAAAGCCTTGGTCTGAAAATTGGAAAGCCACCACAGGGACAGGCCTCCGCTCCTGCAAGCTAGATTGGGAGCGGGGGTCCGGAAAATCTGAGCCTCTTCTGGATGTGCTGATCGAATATGGGCATGTGTACCACTGTCAAAGCAAGGTGCAGATGTGCACGACCAGCATGAACAAAGGAGTCTCTCTCATAACACAGACTGAATATAATCTAATTTTTGAACCCCACACTTGGGGGGCTGAATTTCCAAAGCCTTGGTCTGAAAATTGGAAAGCCACCACAGGGACAGGCCTCCGCTCCTGCAAGCTAGATTGGGAGCGGGGGTCCGGAAAATCTGAGCCTCTTCTGGATGTGCTGATCGAATATGGGCATGTGTACCACTGTCATCTGGATGTGCTGATCGAATATGGGCATGTGTACTGCTGCCGGGTGCAGATGTGCACGACCAGCATGAACAAAATACCTAGATATGTATTTTTTGTAGCTCATCATTATGGAAGAAAGACGATTAAAAGAAAAGATCATTAACAAAACGCACAGCTTAAGATGTTTATTTAATATGCAATCCAATAAGTAGAAAATTAACATTGTCCTGGGAGTACATGTACAGGTTCAACCAGCACTTTGAGACCCGACTGGTGCCAAACCAGAGAATTTGATGGCCCACAGGAGGTCAATAATGTCTATCAGCATTACCAACATTTCACTGATTACTAGGATGTTAGAAGACATTTAGGAGTAAATCAGAGCTAAATAACAGCAGAAAACACTGAGACCCAGGACTGGTGGCTGTAAACAAATGTTATGGGATGGTGGGAAACTTGGCTGCACCCATGATAAGCAGAGTTGGGCTAACTCAAATCATGCTGGACCACGGATGCTGCTGGACTAAGGAGTGCGGGATGAGAGAGGTTCAGTCTGTACTTTATAATCCTGTCTCACACGAGTAATCTTCAGGGAAGGCTGTTCTCTAAATAATGAACCAACTGCCCATAACCTGCTTCCCTGATACCTACATCTCACACCACCCACGCCCTGCCCTTACTCCCACAGCCCCACGCCCTCCAACCCCCAGGCTAAACAAAACCAGCTTATTTCTCCTTTTTACCCTTAAAATTGGTGTGAGGGACATCTCTGCCCTGGTTGTGACAAGATCTGTGGCTCCCAGAACAGTCTCATTAGCCCCTTGCAGATAGGAGGGGGATATAGGGGATAACTTCCCCGGGGCCCAGTGATTCCAAGGGGCCCCCTGAGAGCGAGAGGAAAAACTGGCTGTGTCTTTGTATGTGCCCGAACAGCCTCTAGCATCCTGCTTGGGATTAATCTTTTAAAAATCAGACTCTGGGTATATCTAGACTGTGTTGCTCTTTCAGGATACGGGACGTATCCCAAACTAGCAACGCTGCGTCTTTAAAAGCGCCCTCTATTTCCCAAAATCGTGGGCATGCTATTCCATCGTCCCTATAAGCCTTGTTCCATGAGGGTTAACTGATGTGTCGGAATATTTGAGCCTGGTTTTGAAATTGGGCCGTGTGTTGACAGCGCCACATTTCAAAATAAGCTCTTTCGATTCAGACTCAGAATAAGCTACGCAATTTGCCTAGCGCACCCTCTGTCCCTGGCCATTTCTGTTAACAGGCTGAGGTCAATCCTAAATCCACTTTCAAGGGGGCTGTTGTCCCCTTACTTAAATTCAGGAAGGTTTGGGGGTCGGCTAGCTCCCAGCACCAAAAGGAAGGGGAAATGAACCCTGAGATTGCCATGATGCAGGTCAGCTAGATTGACCAGACAGGTAGGCCAATGCAGGAGTGAGGCGAGAGGGTGTCATAACCCTGAGAGGAGGAAGGAACGGAACAAAAAAGGCTCCTGCTACCCAGAGCAAGCATCCGACCCACGGCAGCGCAGCCAGGATGCTGAGGAACAGACTGTGAACTGCCCTGACATCCCAGAGATGCTGTTTGAGATGCCACAGAACAAGGGGATGAGTTTTCTGCAACCTTTCCTGTTATTCTTTTAATTGGCTGCTGTTTAATAATTTGTACTTGCTTGGAGCTGCACACCGTGATCAACGGGTCAGGGAAGCACCCAGCATGGAGACAGCTCCCCAGAGTTGGGATCCCCAACCCCTTCCCTAGGTGACCATGATAAGGGCAGAGGTTGAGTCCCCCCTCCAGGGGTAGGAGGCGCGTGGGTGGGGCTTGAATCCACAATCTGGGAGCTGATGCCTTCAACATTGAGCCCCAGGTACCCACCCCATCTTCCTACCTGCAGCGGATGCCTTAGCCCAGCATTTCTTGTGTGTGTGCCAGGAGCTTGGCACAATGCGGGGTGTGTGTGTGTGTCTGCCAGAATTCAAAATGGCTTTCCTTAAAGGGACAAGCCTCCTTTTTTATTTTATTTTTTTTTGCTCATCAACGTTGTGTCTGCCTTTCTGTGTGTGTGTGTGCCAGGAGCTTGGCACAATGCGGGATGTGTGTGTGTGTGCCAGGAGCTTTGCACAATGCGGTGTGTGTGTGTGTGTGTGTGTGTGTGTGTGTGTGTGTGTGATGCACAGCCCAGCAGAACTACGGGGGAACAGGAAGAGTGGAAGCCAAGTGGGAGTCGATCCGTGAGGGGAGCCCATTTAAAAACCAACCCCCCTTGCAGACGGGCTTCCTGTTGCCCCGTGCTGAAGCCTCTGATACAGAAGTAGCAGCACAGGGTGGCAGCAGCCCCTGCCCATGGAAGTCTCCCTGTGGACAGAGGCTGCTGGGGGAGAGGGGGAGGGGAGACTGTCATGGAGCAAGCCTGAGCCCGCTGCAGTCAGACTGTGTCCCACTCCAGCCTCCTGGCGCTTCCCGCCCAGCTGGCATGCCAGGCAGGCGGAGGGGGGGACCCCGCCCCCTGCTCCCCAGCTGGAATGGGGCAAGCCAAGCAGCCTTACAAAGGGAACATTGCACAAATGAGAGCACCCTCTAACAGATCCGCAACCTACTAACGAAACAGGGGTACCCAGGGTGTCTTTGCATGGAAAGTTCCTTACAGGTTGGACCTATGTGATCTAGCACCAGGGGAGGTCAGTCCCCCAGGCCCTCCTGGGCCTTGATCCCAGGCTGCCCCCAGTCACTTGTCCTGCACTGGCTGCTGGGACTTTGCTTCAGCTGGCAGGGCACCTCTTCTCCCAGCTCACAGGCTGCCAGCAAGGCTCTCTGTCCACAGATCCTGTGAGCTACTGGCCTACTCTGCTCCCAGCTGCTGCATCCTCTGCAGCTGGGGCTCTCTGGTCCAGTAACATTCATGCGCCGGCAGGACCACTATCCGAGGCAGGGAAAGTAGGGTTGCCAGGTGTTCGGTTTTCACCCGGACTGTCTGTTATTCAGGTCCCCCAACCGGTAAAAAGAACAGAAAATACCGGACATGTGAAATGTCGGGTATTTCCTGTTTCCCTCGGACGGAAGGAAAGTAGGGTTGCCAGGTGTTCGGTTTTCACCCGGACTGTCTGTTATTCAGGTCCCCCAACCGGTAAAAAAGAAAATACCGGACGTGTAAAATGTCTGGTATTTCCTGTTTCCCGCAGACGGAAACCTGGTGGGGAAAATTTTCCTCTGCTGGGACCAGGAGAGCAGGAGGCTGAGCAATGGCCAGCAGGCTACTGTGGGGGAGTTAGGGGTCTGGTGGGCGGGGCTGGGGGCGGGGCTTGCCTCTCCTAGCCATGGGGTCTCCCAGCACCCTAGGTCCCAACCCAGAGAAGTTCGACCTGTGGCAGAGCTGGAATGTCGGTTCCAGGCAGTGCCCCTGGGCCGCCAGCAGGGGGGGCAGCAGGCCCGGCCCCGCTCCTCCCAGCAACCA